CCCCCCCCCCCCCCGTGCCACCTCTCAGTGAAACACGCTTCTTTCCACGTAAACTCAACATCAACTTACATTGAGTCCTTTAAGTCTGGAATTCAGTTCTGTCAACATTGGGTCATAATCGGTAGCAACAAACACAGCTTTTGCGCCGAGGTTTTTGACAGCTTCCTCTGTGCGATTAAGAATGTCTTCCTTTGGTGGGAAACAAAGATTCCTTGTGACTGTTCTGTAACGTGAGTATCCCAGACACTGAGGCGAGGCCATGTAATGGGGTATACCCTCTGCGTGGTCACAAGCATTTTTCTGACAAAAAAAAGAATGAAACAGGAAACATTTTGCTTACAGTTTTTAGTTTTACTCCTTACTAGTTAGACACAGTTGAATGTAACACTCTTTCAGTCAGCTACATCAAACATTGAAGAATTTGAGTTGAAGTGCTTTTTAAAAATTTGTTTTCTCCTTTAGCTTTCAAATACTGATTTTTACGAGGAAAAGGGAAAAAATATGATTCAAAAATGGTTGTCATACCCAGTCAATTCCATTGCGCAGATGAATTCCAATATATGGTCCTCGCGGCAAGTTGTTGTGAATATATTCGTCTACCTCTTTGTTAATCTTGTCCGACCACTTTAGAAAAGCATGTGGCTGGCGATTCTGCTCTTCTACTGGAAAACTTGCTGGTGCGCCTCGGAAGGCAAGAACAGGATGCTTTGAGGGTGGAAATCTGTCACAGAAGAGAAGATGAACTTTTCAGCACCATTCTTTTAAAATATAAATGCCTTATTGACCGAAGGTGAGGTCATTTTTCATTGCGTTCTTATGGACCAAGACTGAAAAATGGAAATTACTGCAATGTAACACGGGTCGATTCGCAACGAAGCCGGATTTTCAGCACATTATAACGTTGAAACATTTTTGATACATTGTTTCGACTTGTTCGCCATAGAAAACGTCGTGGCAAATCGTCCCGAGTAAAGCTACGAGCAAACGGACGCAATTGTTGAGAGTCACTGTTGTTAGCCAACAATGTTGCGTCCTTTTACACGGGGCTTACCATTACCCTGCCGTATAATGAGCTGCTCCTTTCATACCTATGAACTGTTTAAATAATGACTGAATTTTTCATGCGTCGGCAAATTCTCCTTATTACTACCATAAAGAAATGTATCGAGAAAATGCATGTTGACGGAAAAGAAATTGAATTCAAGAATTTAAAAAAAAAAAATACTTACTCCTTCTTCCACTGGTCTCTCTCATAAGGGTCCTGTACCCGAATACCAAGATGATAGACAATCTTTTCTTCAAAATCAACTCCGAGTTCATCCCAAAATGGTTTGAAAGGATTTAGTGGTGATTTTGGGCTTGTGTCTTGACATGTTTTAAATTGACTACCCTACAACCGGTCTTGTAGCTGCAGTGATCGAGAGAGTGACAGATAAAGCGGCCCCAAGCGCGTTCTGCAGTTGCAATGTTTTGAGTCAGGCTGTATTATAGAGCATTGTAATCACGAAAACAATTATTCACGATTATTTAACACAGTCACGAAGAGTGGCTATTGAACACGTGACAGTGGCTCTTAACAAGTGAAAGTGATAAGTTTTACAGTTAGACTGCAAAACAGTCCGTATTTTTGCGTAGTCAAGTACGCGCGGGCAGTCAAACAAAAGGTCTGCAACGAGGCTGAAAACACCGATTTCTTTACTGATTTTGAGAAAAAAACCGACTGTTTTGCAGTCTATTTTCCAGTTGGCTTGATTGCTTATAACGGTTCATACACCGTACTTCACATGAGCCTAATCGAATTCAAGGAAATAAGTAATTGTGAAATCTACACGTTGCCTGAATCAATTCGCAATGTCTAAATGAATTTGGATCGGCTTAGCCATTCTTCATGCCTGGCTCAGCTGGTTTTGTTACGACGCCGAACTTCAAATGAGCCGAAACAAATGAATAAATTCAAGTAACGAGGTTTACCGAATTAGGCGTTCTTTCTTTTCCAATTTAGCTCGGCTGCAAAGAAGATCGGCGTCTGAGTCAATTCAGCCGGCCTTTTGAGTCTGCCTAAATTCGAATTCGAATCGGCTATGGCGTCCGGACCGGGCCTTAGTTGTAAGAGGAGGTGCGTCGCGTGACGAAACAAAAGAAGGAGCGCGCGTGAGACTACAAGTTTTCAGCCTATATAATTTCTTTTCCCAACTGCTCTAGTTCTGTTCATTGCTGCGAAGAACTGTGATTCAATTCCAAGAATTCCAAGTAATGGCTATCTTACGTAAGAGTCTGTGGACCGTGTAACTTTCCACGACCTGATTTCCGCATGCGCAAAGTCGACAAAGAAGGGCGTTTTCTAAGGGCGTTTTCTTAGCCCTGTCGAACACGACCTTATTTAGACGCAGGACGCCCAGCACAGCCCAGTTTGTTGGATTTGTCTATTAAATACTAGTAGTTGCCGTTCGCTGCTGTTCAATTACATATTTTCTTTGGTACATCTGAGTTTACAACAGTGCAATGTTTTTTAAAATTCCATAAAAGTTTCTCTACTTGAGTTTTTCCAACTCATCAGGCGTAACTTTTAAAAGTCATGTGTTAACCATCAAATGCCCAGAAAGATGAGGGTTTGCCACTGAAGTCTCTTTCGCGTTTCACAAATGACGAGAATGAAGACACACAATTACCGATAAAATGATCCGCTCTGCCAAGAATGGCAAGATCCAGCTGAGGAAGCCATGGGTTTAAATGGAAAACTTGCACCTGGAAAACAACCAGAAATATTAAGAGCATTGAATAACTAGCCTAGGCAGTAGAAAAAGTAGTGAATCTTCCTTTTTGATCCCTTTTAAAAATTTAGTAACATCTGTTGACCTGAAGAAGGCTGGTCTGGCCAGCCAAAATATCGTTTGAAATAGTTTTCAATAGCGAGGAGAAGTGTGACGTCACGTTACCATGGTGGCAAAATTTCTGAATCACATCAAGACGGAGCTTAACAACGACGGCGACGGCAACGAGAACGGCGAAAAAGCAAGAGGTTTTTTATAGCAGCAAAACAACAACTTTGCACGAGCATAACGCTTTTTTCTCAGCATTCGTTGCACAAATGCGACATGAAATTTCCAATTTCACGCGCCCGCTTTATGGCGTCGGTGAACATGACACAAAAACTGAGGTTTTTCTTTACTTAGACACGTTCCTTTCGGATTCAACCCCAGGAAATTTGGACAACATTTTACAAATTAAATGAAATTGAATAAGACGGGTAAAGATTGAAATAGTGCGAATTCACTTTTTACGTTTTCGGTTTTTTGTTATCCAGAAATTTTGCTCCGGAAGCTTTGAACCAAGGATGAAAACGTTGGCAGTGCGCAGTCAAGATGTGTTGATTTGTGGGACCAACATACGTTTTGAAAAAATCCCATTCGATTATGTTGGTCTTAATACTAAACACTTTCAAATTCTGTGTACATCGTCTTTTTTCTTAAACAGGGTAGCAAAATGACTTTTGAAGGCCTCCGCGGCACACCTTTGACCCCCACCCAAACTTCCCAAAATTGACCCATCCCCCCCCCCCCCCGTGCCACCTCTCAGTGAAACACGCTTCTTTCCACGTAAACTCAACATCAACTTACATTGAGTCCTTTAAGTCTGGAATTCAGTTCTGTCAACATTGGGTCATAATCGGTAGCAACAAACACAGCTTTTGCGCCGAGGTTTTTGACAGCTTCCTCTGTGCGATTAAGAATGTCTTCCTTTGGTGGGAAACAAAGATTCCTTGTGACTGTTCTGTAACGTGAGTATCCCAGACACTGAGGCGAGGCCATGTAATGGGGTATACCCTCTGCGTGGTCACAAGCATTTTTCTGACAAAAAAAAGAATGAAACAGGAAACATTTTGCTTACAGTTTTTAGTTTTACTCCTTACTAGTTAGACACAGTTGAATGTAACACTCTTTCAGTCAGCTACATCAAACATTGAAGAATTTGAGTTGAAGTGCTTTTTAAAAATTTGTTTTCTCCTTTAGCTTTCAAATACTGATTTTTACGAGGAAAAGGGAAAAAATATGATTCAAAAATGGTTGTCATACCCAGTCAATTCCATTGCGCAGATGAATTCCAATATATGGTCCTCGCGGCAAGTTGTTGTGAATATATTCGTCTACCTCTTTGTTAATCTTGTCCGACCACTTTAGAAAAGCATGTGGCTGGCGATTCTGCTCTTCTACTGGAAAACTTGCTGGTGCGCCTCGGAAGGCAAGAACAGGATGCTTTGAGGGTGGAAATCTGTCACAGAAGAGAAGATGAACTTTTCAGCACCATTCTTTTAAAATATAAATGCCTTATTGACCGAAGGTGAGGTCATTTTTCATTGCGTTCTTATGGACCAAGACTGAAAAATGGAAATTACTGCAATGTAACACGGGTCGATTCGCAACGAAGCCGGATTTTCAGCACATTATAACGTTGAAACATTTTTGATACATTGTTTCGACTTGTTCGCCATAGAAAACGTCGTGGCAAATCGTCCCGAGTAAAGCTACGAGCAAACGGACGCAATTGTTGAGAGTCACTGTTGTTAGCCAACAATGTTGCGTCCTTTTACACGGGGCTTACCATTACCCTGCCGTATAATGAGCTGCTCCTTTCATACCTATGAACTGTTTAAATAATGACTGAATTTTTCATGCGTCGGCAAATTCTCCTTATTACTACCATAAAGAAATGTATCGAGAAAATGCATGTTGACGGAAAAGAAATTGAATTCAAGAATTTAAAAAAAAAAAATACTTACTCCTTCTTCCACTGGTCTCTCTCATAAGGGTCCTGTACCCGAATACCAAGATGATAGACAATCTTTTCTTCAAAATCAACTCCGAGTTCATCCCAAAATGGTTTGAAAGGATTTCCTTCCTGCGGTTGTGAAAGTTTAAGCCTGAAGTCACCTATTTATGTCTTTACTACGAATGTGTCACTTAAATTTCTGTTTAACTCTGTTGTCTGTCTGGGGTTGGGGGGGGGGGGAGTACTCAACAAGGCTTTATATACGGAGGCTCCGTCCCAAGGCCCAAACCCTTTAACTTGTTGTATACCACTTTTGGCAAAAAAATTTATCCCTCTGGTATAACTTCCATTGCAAAATTGTGCCCCTTTTATAAACCTACTAACAGTAAAGTATTCTTTTCATTATTTCAAGCATTTAACAAATAATAATGATATAGCCATAAGGTTCGTCTGCTCAAAATATTTTAATAAGGCCCTTAAAATAACTAAATGACATTGTTTCCTACCCTTTCACCCTTTGATATAATTGCACTTAAGATATTCCTACCAGGGGCGGATACAGGGTTTTAACAAAACTGCGTGCAAACTTGGACATATCTCCTGAATTTGTGACTGCAAGCAGCTATATTTTATTTCATTTAACTTCTTTTGTAATTTTCAGAATTATAATTCCAGAAAAGATTAATGTTTCCAGTTATCTATTTGAAAGCCATGCACTTGACCTTTCAAAATGACCGACCAACTGAAAGTTTGTCTGGACAAATTGTCATCCTAGCCAGACACTGTCCAGTAACCGGTCATTATTTTGAGCCCTAGAGTGGGGACTTGCATAAAAAGGTAGTAAAGTATAACAATTAACCCTGTTGGATGGTACAGCCCTTTACCTTTAGAACACATTTGGCATTAGATCCAGGAGGTAGCCAGCAGTAGCCACGCCTGTTTTCTTTTGGCCAGTGAGTAGGTGCCAGGTGCTTCATAAAGTCTTCTGCTAAGATAACTCTGTGATATGACTGGAGAGGCTCTACTTGAAAAAAATCTGAGAAAGGGACATTTTTCTGTGGAAAAAAAAAACAGAAGAGATCATATTACTCGCTTGTTGGCAAAAATTTAAATAAAATAAATATTATCAAATGTTTTTTTTCTTATGCGGTATATCATTGAATGCAAGTGATTTGAGTAAAATTTTATTTCCTTTTATTGAAGAAGTACTATAAAACTCACAGTTTCATGCCAGATACATGTTTCACTGCAAATCTTTGCAAGACTGTCACTGGAGTTTTGGAATAAGTGTGGACTAATCTAACATCAATTTCAGCCTTCTCTTAATGTCACACAATCCAGAGTGTGTGGCTCAAGAAAATGGCTCATAATTCAGAACAGAATTTATCAACACTGATTCAAATCAGCATTGGAATTGGCCAGAAAGGGAGTGGAGACTACAAAATAGGAAATACATATTTGCAAAATTAAAATCATCAAAGGCAACTAGTACTCTTGTCTTAAATAAAGTTATAAAATAATAAACTAATAATACATGACTTTATACACACCCTCTGCCTGCCATATATATTGATTTGAAAGTGCCTGGATGGCTCTGTAATAATTATAACAATAAATTATAATAGATGTAGATAAGGCTGGGCCTCTGACCAAATAGAATTTACAGATGACAATGAATACTTGATAACATTTGAGAAGAAGAAACCTTGAGATGTTAGGTGGTGTTGCAGTTTATCCTCTTGATTAGAATGGAAATCTTTAAGAACTTCCTTAGTGGATTTGTACACATCATATTGAATATTAGTGTGACAGCTTGACGATTTCTAGAGATCTTTTAAGGAAGCATTTGGTGACTCTTTTAATGAATTTCGGAGAACTGTTTGGCACTGAGTAAATTTAATAGAGGGAGGAAAAATATTAAGACCAAATTTATTGCGTTCTAGGAAAACATTGCTCAGTGTTCCAGATATCAGAATATTAAGCCATTTTCGAATATAGCCATTCACTACAGAGTCGAGATTTTCCGTTATCCAGGTTTTGGATATATTAGCCATAGTGAAATGCCAGGACAATTTAGATAGGACATAGCGGCTGTACAGAAGAATTTGTGTTTAGGATGTAGTGGCTTTATATCAATGTCATTCATCAAGTCTTGTACAAGAGAGGACAATTCAGACATGTGTTGGTTGTAATAATAATAATAATAATAATAATAATAATAATAATATGGCTGTACAGAAGAAGTTTGTGTTTAGGATGTAGTGGCTTTATATCAATGTCATTCATCAAGTCTTGTACAAGAGAGGACAACTCAGACATGTGTTGGTTGTAATAATAATAATAATAATAATAACAATTAATGGAAAGTTTATTTGTGTTTTTGAATGTACAATTGTAAATCTTGCTACATATAGGCAGTTTACAAGTGCTGCTTGAGATTGGATTATTCAAAAAACAAAAGAAAGAAGGAAAGAAGAAAGAAAAGAAAAGAAAAGAAATCAAAACTGCATGAAGTCTGGGCTATCCCAATTTCTATTTCTATATAATAATAATAATAATAATAATAATAATAATAATAATAATAATAATAATAATAATAATAATAATAGCAATAATAATAATAATAATAATAATGATAATAATAATAACAACAATAATAATGAATGCGGGTGATAAATGCCACAACAATTTCGGTGGTGATAGGAGTCCTGGGACAACAAGAAAGGATTGGAGAAAAACATCCAACTTGTTCCTGGATAAGCTCAAAATGCATCAGCTACAGAAGAACACACTCCTTGGATCAACATCTCCCATCCTAAGAAAGACACTCTCTATCAAATAGACTTGTGTTTCATTCTAATCCGTTGACCCTATAAATGGACATGGCTATTATGTTGTATTATCAATGGTCGTATAAAGTTAAAGAAGATAGTCATATAACAATAATAATAATAATAATAATAATAATAGTAATAATAATGATGATTATAATAATAATAATACCCATCATGACTGGTGCACTTGGAACTGTCTCGGGGAATGCACAGGCCTGGTATGGGAGATTGAGTCTACCAGGTATTTTTGGAAGTGCACGTGCAGTTGTCAGCCATCCTTGGGACTGCCCTATGCAGAAAGTGTTATGTCTCTAAGCTGTGGGATTGCTGCTGAGAAATGACTGTCCCCAGAAAAAGAACTGGAGAGGATCACATGATAATAATAATAACACACACAGATATATTACAATAGTACTTGGTATGCCTTTGAAACCCTGAACTACATTTCTATTATTAACAATTATTCCTCGAGCCCGAATGAGCTCTGAGTCAATAGGCTATGAGGCTGAAGGCATTGTTTTGGTTTTCAAAGCCAGCGCTTTTCGCTACTAGTGGGCTATAACATAGCCTACTGCTGGCTCAACCAATCAAAATGCAACATTGATAATACACCACTAGTTGGATTTTACTAACATATCATTTTAATATTGCCTGTGAAAAGTTGACTACTCTTCAGAAAAGTTATTTTAATATGCAGTTCAGAAAAAATATCACTTACATATGTTCTCCATGGTGGAAGAATCAATGTTCTGTCAAGGGCCTTAGCAAATGCTATTGCTCCCAGAAAGTGCTCAGCTTGATTTCCAAACCTCCCTGTTTATCAAAAAGAGATCAATATTATTTATCCTTGGGTTCCCCACGCCTTTACTCAAGGTCTGAATCTATGACTTGTTATATAAAGTGGAGCCTTAATTCAGGAGACAATCCTATTGTGACCAATCCCCTGAATAAAAGCAACTGATAAATGTATAAAGATCTTTGGGGGAGGGGTGGGGGAAGAGAAAAGTTAGGGTTGCTTAAATGGAAGGTGCCCCAAAAGTGATGTTTCACTGGATTAATTAACTCTCCTCCCCAAATTAACTAAGAGTCATCAGAGACAAACGGCAAAAAGTATTTCTCGAACAAGTATTGTCCTTATGAGCTTTATAAATGTAAGCTTACCAGCCAGGTTTTTCAAGAGTTACAGACGAATTGTAAACTTTCGAGGCGAGGGCAACAACGCAAAGCGAAAACGCAATTGGGAAATGAGGGATACGAGTATGAGTTAAATACCGCATAAACTTAGTTTTTTATAAGCTTAAGTTCTTAAAAGCTTAATAATTAGTAATATCAAACTGTAAAAATTGTAAAGTTTCTTACCCATGCAAGGACAGTAAAAAACATAGCCCCGAGGATCCCATTTGAAATAAGATGAATTGCTTTCAATTTCTGAGGTAGTTGCCCAGTTGAACACCAGAGAAAAAGAATAAAGGTTTAAAAAGAAATTAACCAGTTCAGCTTTCATGTTAAGTTATCAGCAAAAGAAAATCATAATTCCGGTCAATTCCAGCTTGGTAAATCGATTTCGAACGTGAAAACCGCTGAACAGATTGCAGCTTCACTTTTTCCCTGGCGGCGAATTTAAATGATGGCGGCTGGCAGCTGCGCTATCGTTTGAGCTTAGATTGTGTTCACGAATAGAGACTTCAGACAGTCTGAGAACCAGGATTAGGTCAAACTTCTGCTTAAATACTAACGCTGATCGTCTTTTCCCAGGTAAGGCCATCTGATTCTGATAATTTTCTTCCTGTATGTTTACGCTTTTATACTCTTTTATACTACAGAGCTGAATACTAGCACTCTCTCCCGGTCCCATGTTATTATTATATGTGTTCCAACGGTAAAATTAATCAAACAGCCACATGTAGTACCCAAAAATCAACACAACAGCGCAACACATACTCTAAAAACGCTTTTCAAGGCGTGGGATCAGTCATTTCAGTGCTAACCTTTAATAGCATCATGTGGAGAAGACAACAGATTTGAATTGGCAGCTTGTCCCCATGCAGTCTGTCAATAGGAAATGGATAAAGCTTTAAGAGAGTACTGGAAGGCAGAAAATGCCTAGCCTGTGAACAGGCCTTTGGCCGAGTGGAGAGCCTGTTCACAGGCTACCCCTTTGCTTATTTTTGACAAAATATAGTCTATGTGGTGCCTCCAAGAGAGCTGACTATCAATCAAAACACCGAGCTATTTCACTTTAGATGTTTTTGTTCAAGAGAAGTCAATATCTTTAAGTCATTGTCATACATATTTAAGAATACGTTATAATCAGAAGATTTTTCGAGATGCGGGATTTGGCGCATGCTTTTTCTCATTCTCTTGCATACGATATATCTGTTCAGTGTTGTGGCTCCAGGGACCAAATATTTTGTACACGAATCGCCCTTTTATCCAGACAAAAGTAGTCAATCCGCTCAGCGAAACCGAATCTTTTTTAATATAATCCGCGTTCCAGAGTGGTTAAAGGGCTGGTCCAGACCCCAAACCAAAGAATGCCGATCATTGGTGCTCCCAGAACCCTGGTGCATCCAATGTCGCAATTTTAGCAATAATTGAATTCTGAAGAATTAAGTAGATCGAGGAGGGTCGAAGAGTGTATTATTTGCTGAGAGCTTTAATCGTCCTGGATTCTGCATAATTGTTTTGTTATTCATTCAATTCATAGATTTAGCTGGGGCTAAAAGCGAAGCTCCCGGTATTATACTTCTAATTTACTCAAATAAAAGCAAAATTGTGTAATGCTAAACGGCGACGGCAGCGAGAACGACAAAAACCCATTATGTCTAATAGGAAAAAAAAACAACTTTGCACTTTTTTAATTGCAGCACACTTTTTTTGTACATTTCTTTGCTGTTGTTGTTGGGATAGCCTGAGAAATCAGCCGACATTTGGCGACGCTACTACTGGTTTCCCCACCAAATGACGTCTGTGAAACGAGCGCAAAAACTCCATATTGATGACGCGTCACTACCCAGATCTGGGTAGAATCAAATGGGTTGAATCAAATTTCCCACGCGGCACGACCAATCAGAAGCACTACCCAGATCTGGGTAGTGACGCGTCATCAGTATGGAATTTCTGCGCTCGTTCCTCAGACGTCATTTGGCGGGGAAACCACTGGTAGTGTCGCCTAATGTCGGCTACTTTCTCAGGCTGTTGCTGGGACAACAACGTGAAACTTCCTAGTTCACCTTTAGGCCTTGTTTACAGGGATGGAGGGTAACCCTGGTGCTAGGGTTACCCTAGCAAGAGGGTTACCCTAGCACTCCCTCGCACATTTCTTATTTTTTCACGCGACGTGTTTGCAAGGCAGGAAGGGTTACCCTAGCGCTAGGAATTAGAAACTTCAGATTGAGAAAAACAGTAAAGGGTTTGCTATCAAATATTAATATAAGGAAACCAAAAGGAAAGCACAATTCTCTACTCGACTCCTGTATTTTTTTATTACTTCGATTACAGTGAGTACTCATACGACATTGAGCTGTACCGTAGGTCTCTTTTAATGTCTCAGACAGCCGGTTTTAACCTTTTTCATATTAGTTCACAGACACCCTATGTGTTGTCACGTTACGATGGTGGAGAGGATTGTGTGACCAATCAAATGGACCTCTGCGTAGGCGTGTAGGTCAACTTTATAGCTTTCACTTTTGATAGCCAGAGAAAGAGAAAGGAAACGAATAGAATTGAGTGAAATTATGTTAACGATAATTATTAGCTCTTTTCCGTAATAAGGCATTGGAAATGAATTGAATCCGTCTGAATTAAATGTCGAATTTATATCCTATGTGTTGACCAAGGCAAATAGATTTTCTCTGCTGTAAAGAGATAATAACTGGATAATTGTTCTCTCCCTCTTGGATCATATCAGTGCATGAAACATTCGACTGGGCATAATGCCTTTCCGTTTACGTCACCAGTAACCGGAATCACCGTGTCAGTACTAAAGGGGCTTCCCCGAGCAAAGACGCCCAATGGCTGACCACTGGCTGACGAGCAAAGTTAGTTATCATACATTCATTTAATGCAGTATTTATGGACCTTATACATTTCTTTCATTCCCGCTACTTGTTGCATCCAGTATGTCTTCAGGTTAGTCTATTTTCGAGTAATTGTTTTGATTTTCCATCGGGTAAAGTACTTTCAGTAATTATGACTTTTACTATTTTTTCTACTTACGAGTGAACATGTTTGTTTACCGGCGTATGTCATTTCCGCGGAGCTTTTTAATAGACTCCACAAACATTCAGTCCAACTTCCTAAGTTCTACTAGGCATAGATTGTTAAACAAAACTGATGAAAACACGCAGAGTTAACTCTGTAAATACGATCTTGGTAATAGATTGCTCTTGATACAAAGTCTTGACTGAAAATAGAATGCAACTCTGTCATGGAACAGACCCCCGGCCGAGTACTGCCAGTATAAATGTGCCTTATAAACGTTCTTTGCACAATTCAATAGAGCAATACTTTCATACATTATTTATTTACGTGAAGTTCATTGCTCGGAGGCGAGAAAGTTAATTACACAATATTTTGCCAGTTTGGTACTGCACCGAAATGCATATTTGTGAAATCAGTGGTCACCGCCGTAGCCAGTATGAGGCGAACCGAGGCACTCGCCTCGGTAAAATTTTACCAAATACTGTCGATTTTTATTTTTTTTATCAGACTGATAATATTAGAAGATTTCATACGGCTGATTTCGTACAAAGGACCGTGTGTTCGCCTCGGTTGTAGTTTCTTCCTGGCTACGGCCCTGGTGGTGCTAAGTGTCAGGTGTGCAGTACAAGAAGTATCAAGGAAATACGGTACTTATACCACCACTTAAAATTACACTGGTGTTAAGAGTTTGCTCATGTATCGTCTGACGCAAATATTGGTCATAACACTTTGAGTGCCTGCTATAATCCTATCTTAATTTGAATTGTTGATGGAGTGATTATCTAAGATCCCTCACCAGTCGAAAGATCAACAAAAGTACATGAGTTGCAGTTATAAGTTACTTTTTCGATATCCTGTAAATCATGTTATAACATCATAACTCTTATTCAAGATCTTATATATTCTTGATATATAACTCTTATTTAGGATTACATCAGCAAAATTAAATCAGCAAAATTAAATCCATGCCCGACTCAACTGGTTTGCATTAACTGACAGTTTTTTGAGTCATTCGATAACTTTTATAAAGTACACCCCTTATTAAAGAGCCTATTTTCATGATATGCTTAAAGGAGCTGTGTGACGAAATTCAGCCAAATTAGGAAATTACAAAATACCCGTTAAATTAAGAGAAACACAAAAATTAGCGCTTAAAACTTTAAAGGAAGGTTAAAGTAACATAACAGAAACAACAGATGCCACGGATGGGCAAAACTGAACAAGATTGAAACGGATTGAATTAGGGTTTTTGAAAACTGTTCAGCCTAACAGTTTTCCAAAGTTGATCCCTGCTGCTTGTAACTTCAAAAATAATGCTCAGGAAGCATATTTGTTTGTCTCGGATCTCTGATTTTGTCATTTACATGTAATTTCTTTGCTTACTTTAAGTTCCTTAGAAATAGAGGGCGAGTAATTGGCAAAATTAAACAAAATGAACTGGGCTGCCGTGACACAGCCCCTTTAATGATGATTATCGAATTCTTTTAGTGTATAAAAAGGAAACCCATTTCTACGAGAAATGGACGCCGGCGCTGGCAGGGAAAAATCCCGCATAGTTTGTTGTTGTTTGCTTGACTAGTTTTTCATTTGATTAACCTCTAACCCCTGATAAACACTGGAGCAGCATTTGCATTCAAGTCACACAAGAACGAAATGAGATCTTAACACTGATCATAATTCCCTCTTCCTTTCTAACGAACAATCATGTAATGTAATACTGCAATGTATACTTTTATCCTCTTTCGTAGGCTCTGGTGACAGTTCTGAAGTAACTTCAGATGATTATATATATGGTGAGTACATACGCCATATTTGTTCTGAGTAGGGTTTGTTTTCAATTCTCCACTCTTCTCTGAAAGGGCTGTCTTCGGCGGGTACTCTAACCTGCGTAGCAAGCGTTTCCGTACTGTTTCGGAGCAAAGAAAGACCTAGGAACGGGATTCTCGGGTTTTTGGCCGCGCGGGAAATGACCTCCCCGCTTACTCGCGCCATTTTTCGCGCGGTCTTTGACTCTCGCTCCTCGTTTTTTGCTCCGAAACAGCACGAAAACGCTTGCTACTCAGGCTACGGGTACTCAACGAGTACTCGTTTCACGTTATCCTCTCCTCAAATACTGACATGATGTTTAAAGTCCAGTTTCACTCTTCAAAGTGTTGTAACTAGTTGGGGACACCGATAGAGGGTCACAGCTTTATCAGTTCTTGAAACCGTCAAGTGTCCCCTCTTCTAATTAAGGTTAGTTAGTTTTTCGTTTTATTTAGTTTTGTTTTTTTGTTGTTGTTGTTGGTTTGTTTTTCGTAATACATTATCTTTAGTGATATATATAAAAAATCTTAATCCAAGAATCAGAAGTTTGTAGATGATCACCTTCCGAGCAAAGCCTCCTTTTGCCTTTTTTCGCCGAAATCGAGCAAGTTAAGAAAGGCTCTTCTGGCAGGATGATGGATGATACAAGTGTTTCTTCAAAGTCAATCTCGTTAGCCACCAGTGCAGGCAGTCAAATACCGAACCTTTTGAACTTACTACTTCAATTGCGGCTCTTCTCGTAGCAAGCACGTTGGGAAGTTCTGCCCAACAGCACAGCTCGCAAATGTTTCTATCCTTTTACGAAAATATTGCTGTTGACTAATATTTAAATTTTATGTTCCAGATGACGTTTCATGTAGGACTGGGAAAGAGAAAGTTCAATTCAGAAAATTCCAGGTCCACCTAGAAAACATTGGTGGAGATGTCGTTGTTGGAGGTCAATCGGCACAAAAATTCCGTAGTCGGAAAAAAAAAGGTATTTTATGCGAAAACGAGTAACCCAAACAAACATTTTATTGCAAGAGGAACGAGAGGGAAAGTCGGAATTTTGAAACGAAGAATTAAACTGGGAAAGCCGCAGCTTAATTCGACGCGACGGACACTTATCATAATAAATAAATATAACCTGGTTTTCTCATGTTTGGCCGTAGATACCCGTGCAATAGAACTGTCGCTTCCCCCTTTTGATAGGAGGCCATTCTCTCACTAGACTGCAAAACAGCCCGTATTTTTCCTGCAGTTCAAGCACGCGAGAGTCCTGGAGCGTGGGCAAAACAAGCAAAATGTTAGACTGGGGTGCCTCCGCTTTGCGCACTACGCGCGAAAATCTCACGCGAGCGCCTTGAAATCGATTTTCAGGAAAAAACCGACTGTTTTCCAGTCTATTTTACCACAGGATCAATGGGTGGCGATATTTTATATTTATAAATACACTTGAGTGAATGAGAAACCTATGGTAGATAGCTGGCCTTAAAGCGATGAATCTTATAACCAATGCACCTTATTCAGATAGATAAAAGGAACGTTTTAAGAAAAAGAAACGCTACCGATAAGCAGTTCTTGAGCTGAGCGAGGGTATTTTAAGCCAATTTAGCTATAACTGACTTTTGGGTACTTCGATCCTCCCAGGTGGTGAGGACCATGGGCTACCAAAACCAAGCTCCAACACAAACCAACCTTCAGCCATATCGGCTAAAAACTCTTTCTCTAAAGAATCCAGCAAACATGAAAGAGCCGAACAACGTTATACACGTTTCATTCAAAGCGGCGAATATATCCCAGGGAGCTATTGTCAAACGACTTGTGACAGACGGCAAAATGAGCAAGAAAAAGAAACATGGAATCCAAAGCCAGATAAATGCATCTTCAAAAGTAAAGGTAAAGTGACAATTTCGTATTAAGTTTTTAAACTTTATTTAGAAATTGAAAAAATCTTTTCTATTATTCTTAATCCTTTTGGTGGTGTCCGTTCTCGTCCTTAGCAACACCATCTTTATTACCAGTAATTTCACCGATCCGAAATTCACTGATTTTGCTTAGGTGCCATTTTTGACTAGCCAAATCAAAATGAAGGGGATTTGCAGAACATTGCCAAAACTATAGGTAGCTATAAGGGGCTTGACTCACGCAAAAGAGTTTCTGGAATCTCTAACTAACTCAGCGACAATACTTTAAAAGGCATTTTGATCGGAAGAACAAGCAACTACCGTTTACCTATTTTATCAAAGATGTAGAGCAAGACCATCTAATCTTACTCTTCAATTTCAATTTATTAAAAGAAAGGAATTTTTGAGCACATACCAAGTGCAATCCATTCCTTTTCGGATCACACGCTACAACAGCACAAACTTATCGTCTTGTAAAAATATGGACTTGTACATGGTACTTTATTCTTAGGCGGGTTTCGTATAGCAGATACATGTGTCCTTTGCGTTTTCAAGATGGTACTAAGAACTAGCTAAGAGTTGCGTCAATCGTTATATCGAACAAAATCCAAATTTGGGCAGCGCCTACCCAGGTGGTTATGAAGAATTAGCCAGGGGATTAAAGCCAAGACGAAATGGAGAAACATTTTATGTTAATTGTTATTCATCATTTATAATATTTCTCTTTTCCTGATAGGCTCAAATCCCCGGCTAATTCTTCATAATTAATTTGCCGTGACCAAATTGCGAGATCCGAAAAACGAGAAGCCCTGAGCCGAGGTTACGTTAGCTCATGCTCTGTTTTGCAAAGAAGAAATAACCGAACTACTGCCTAAAAACACAAGAACAGCAACAAAAAATAACCGGACGACAACAGCTAGACTAAACATCCCCTTAAATCCAGAATTAGCAGAAAAAAAGGAAAATAGAAACGGGAACTTTCGAGGTATACGTCATTTTAAAAGTATGATTTTTTTTCTGAATGAATAATGAAACAACGATTAGATTCGGTTTTCGTATACCGATCTGAAGAAATATGCAGATAGCGGCCAGGTGGAAAACACCCTAATCGATCTGAGTGTGTAATTCTTCAGATCATACGAAAGCCGAATCCAATAATTGCTAATTATATCGATCACTATTACAAGGTCAGTTCCACATACCTACTTTATCATGGTAATTTCAGGAGACAGAAAGTTTCCTTGGACTATTCCGTCATTTATGGATAGCCCAGATGGATTCATCCAAGATATGCATAGATCTGACGGCTTGAGTAAAGAGCGAAGAGAAGAGTTCATCCTCCATGTTATACTGAAACATCTTGAAGGATACTGGGGCGGATGTTCTTCCGCCAATGAGAAAGTGTACAGGATTTTGGGGAAAATTATGAGCGTCGATAGTAACATTGTATTCAAGCATACTTTGCATCTGCTCTTTCATCTGATATGCAAAGACAATTTAAGTAATGACACCCGAAACCTCATGCTCGTTGAAAAAAATTTACGAACTTCCCTTTTCTCTTCTGAGAAAGGGTTTGAAAGAGATCTAAACGCCGAACAAAATTTCCAGCTTATGGTATATGGTCGAGTTTTGTCTTTGCTTTTGGTGCAGCGGGTTCGACAACAGAATTTGCCTACTACAACTCTGGAGGAAGATCTGACAAAAGTACAGGAAGACGTCAGGAAATGTTGCACCAAGGTTGAAAACAAAAGGAAAGACGAATTCCGGTATTCATTGGAATTCATAGATCGGATGATTAGTCTTCTTCTGACACCCCATGACAAGTTAACAGCTGCAACGAAACTAAATGACTTCTTGAAAGAATCTGAGGACTTTTTCATAAATCAAACCACAGACCACACGAAAAGGCTTAAGATTCTTGATACTTACAGGAAGAAGAAAAGCGGAGAGTGGTGTGTTCTCCATTGCATCTTGATTTTTTTACATGGAGAGGTAACCCAAAGA